CCCCAAAACCCCAAAACCCCAAAACCCCAAAACCCCAATTAAATATCAAATGTTGAAAATAAGAAATACTGATTGTAATATTATTAAATGAATTCTTATAAGCCCAAGAGCAACGTAAGTCTTATAAAAAGTTCACATTTGAATATCCCCCAAAAGTTTACATGAGGAACTTATATGTCTTTTTAGAGCAAAGACGAGGATGATGACCTCTGGGATATCCCAGATGAGTCCCCAGCTGTATGAAATCTTGTTAGTCCTACCAGGAAGTGACACACAGGCTTACTAATGAATGATAAGGGAAGCATTAAGAAGAGAGAAATTGGTCAGTTTATGGAGTCATTAGGAAACCAGTTCATTATGAGAAAAGATTCATGCGTTTCAGAGAGAAAAAGAAAATCCGAAAACCAAATATCCATTTATGAAGTTCACATCGCAGAAGAAGAGTATGATAATAAATATCGACCAGAGGCGAGAATTCGTCTTTCGAATAGTGGAGGTTTGCATCATCAGAAGTTTTCATTGAAGAACTGGAGTCATAGGAAATTTGGTCAGATTAGTTGAGTCTCTAAATATCTAAGAAAATGCCGTACCTGAAATAAGAAACCTAACATCATTACTCTCAAACCTTGTAAGAAAGATGTTTCTGAAGGGACAACAGAAATAACTTCTAAAGAATGAGTGATTACAATGAATGATGTTCTGCCTGCAGCTGGAGAAGACTCTATTTAAATTATGTAAAATTATTTGTCATCAGGAAATAATTCATCAAGTCTGATATTTACTAATAAAGTTCCAATCATATTTTGATATTCTGAATTCTTTAGAAATAGTCCCTCTTTTAGGGTCAGTCTCAGTTTTTTCTGAAGGGTTTTTACTTATCTACCTTAAAAATTCTAAAGATAGTCAAATTTAGTTGGCTTTAGTTGTATAAAATATTGGTTGAAAATCTCCAGTGTATCCTAAGCTAAATGTTTGCAATAATTTACTTTCAGAAACATATTATAAGCCAACATGCAGACCTCGTTGAAATTTTAGAAATATTTGAGAAAGAGGAGGCATTGGGGAGATGGGTGAAGGAAGTGGGATTTAGAGGGATGAGGGGTTGGGAGGAAGAAGGGTATTTGGGGGGGATTTTGAATTATGGGGAAATTAGGTGTTGGACTGGATTTGGGAAGGTAGATAAAATAAGTTTATTGAGGATGGAGTTTTGTTAGATGGTGTGGTTTTAAATAATTATGTGAAAGAAAATTTGTGGATAAGTTACAGCAGTGCGAATTACTCCTTCTTTCAAAAAATAGTGAAAGCTTAAGGAAAAATAATTAAAAGATAAGAAAAGCATAAAAATCTCAGACAACCAAAATTATGACAAATTAGTTAACTTCTAGCATCTTTTTAATATTTTTGAACAATCCAGTTTAAAACTGACTGTCCTTTTGTGAAGAAAACCACCTTGAATATCAAATTTTATGACTGACCATAAGCTATATAATTAATAGAGGCCAACATGAACTTTTCAAAAAAATAAACACAGGCATTTAAAGGTAGACGAAACTTTCAATTATGGTGTCGAAACACGGGGTTTTGGGGTTTTGGGGTTTTGGGGTTTTGGGG